GGAGTTCATGTTTATCTTCAAGGTTTCAAGTTGCCAAGAACAAGTAACAAAGTTGGCCCATGATTGGCTACCCATATATTTGGTGTATGCGCCTCAAGGCCCCCACCCCTTAACTCCATCTCCGTTGGTCTGACTAATTTTTTTAAAATCTGTTTCGACGTCAGATGTACTTGATTAATTAGCACCATTAAGATGAAGCTCCGACGCATCCGGGCTGCTGCTGGGAATTTTGTCGCTCATAAATGTGGAAAAGGAAATGAATCAAACTTGAACTTTTTTTTTTTTTTTTTTTTTTAAATTAAACTCTCAAATGTCTTCAAGGCACCAGTCAAAGCCTGACAAGTTACAAGTATGAGGAATTATACTTTCATTTTGGAACTGTGCTTTTTCTCCATTAGAAAGGACAGCATCTCGAGCCGTTCATCCAGTCCTATTTCAACTCTTGTGAGTCACCCAAACCCAAACCGAGCCGCCCCGAGCTCACCATCCTGAGCCCCACTTCAGAAAATGATAAAAAGGTTTGGCTTTTTTTTTTCCCTTTCTTTCATCCGATACTTCAGGTGGAATCAAAATGCTTTGAGAGAGGAGACCACAGTCTTTGAAGAAGTGCTTGACTTACTTTACAGTCAGGTCCATACGTATTGGGACATTGATACGATTTCTCATCTTTTTAACTCCAAACGCCGGTAATGGATTTGAAGTGAAACAAACAAGATTTGCTTGAACTGGAGACTTTCACTTTTAATTTGATAGGTTTAATATACAAAATAGGTGAATGTTGTAGTTGTTCGAACAATTTGTTTATTTGCCTCCCACTTTTTAAGGCGGTGATTCCCAACCGGTGTGCTGTGAGAGATCATCAGGCTTGTCGTCGAAATTTTCCAATGTCACTTATTTGGATGGACAATTATTTATTTTCTTTAAAAAAAAGTTTTTTTGGGGGTGAATTTATCTATGCCAAGCACATAATAACAAGCAGAACAATCAAATACTCTTCCACTGGATGACAGTAGGTCACACTGAGAATTATTATTATTATTATTATTTTTTTTTGCCATGACCGATAATGTAACACAGGCCAAGAAACAACTTTTAGTTTGATTTTATGCTCCCGAGTCTGGAAATTAAATCTGTTTATTTGAATTGGATCGATATTTTAATTGATTGATAAATAATATGCTTTGACAATTCACAAAATGTACTTTCATTGTTACGATGTGCTTTGATGTGACCTGTTTTTGCATTTGTCGGGGTAGACTAATACATGCCTTGACAGAAAATATCTAAGCATTAAACTAGAACGGAATTTAACGTGAAGAATGTTCAGTTGAAGCCAAAAGAACGATACAGAATCCCTTTTTACATTTTTGTTTAGCTCTTCAATGACCTCTTCAAAAACAATGCCAACCGGTCCGAGGTGGCAGAAAAGAGACACAACCAGAACTACTTCATGGAAATCCTCACTGTGGAAGGGGTGTACGACTATTTAATGTATGTCGGTAAGTATATCGATCGCCACCATCCACGTGTAACGATGTCATATTTCATCAAACGAACAAATGTGGCACAGTGTATAAACACTTCATTTTTATCTGTGATTATATCAGCAGCTTGTCAAATTACAAAGGCCTTACTTGTACTATCCTGTTGCTCGTCAGGCCGAGTTGTCTTTCACATTCCTGACTGGTTGCACCACCTGTTGATGGGTGGAAGGATCCTGTTGAAGAACACACTGGAGGCCTACACTGATTACTACCTTCAACAAAAGCTGAACCAGGTTGTGGAAGAGCACCGCCTCATCTCACTCATCACCCTGTTGAGAGGTGCGATGCATTGTCATCTGATACTATATGTCTTCAGCATCATAGTTTGAGCTGATGTCATGTTTTTAAATACCAAGCCTGGAACAAGCGAGAGAAAACGAACGGAAAAAACGTCAATGATGAACTAGAGAGGTCTAGAAAACACTTGATCATGAGCAGCAAACGAGGTCAATAATCCGACATAGACTTGGCGCTTAGGAAGTCCTTAAATACATGGCTAAGTTGATGAACACATTGGCAGCAGGTGGGCATGCTGGAGGGAAAGCCCTCCTCTGCCACCTGCTGAAGACACACAAGAACAGCTGTAACTAAGTTACTTGGTGTTTAGTGAAAATGGGACATTGTTATTTCCGAGTAATGTTGTAGGAATAATCATTTGAAAATGTAAAGACTGATTGTGATTTCAGAATTGTGCATCAAAGTGGTATTTCTTTGCATTACGGTAATCAGTACCCAAGAAGTAACTCTCAGTTTCAAAAAGGCTGGTGACCCCTGATATTATGTGTACACATTAAAAAAAAAAAGAAGTAAAAAAAAAAAACCTCGCAGAAAAATATCTGGTTGCTTCCCTAGATGCTGTTTTTTGTGAGAGCAGTCCACCTCGCTCAGCTCAAGATAAGCAGAGGAGAGCAAAAAGGACATTTTCCGAGATGATGAGATACATTCCCGGTAATTTCCTGTCAGCGTTTTCCCCCCCTCACAAGACACAAAGATGTTTAAAAGGGTGGCTGCCAATTCAAAAAGCGTTTATCTGCAGACCTTCTGGGGAAATGTATCGGCGAAGAGGCTAAGTATGAAGGCGTATGTCTCCTCTTTGATGGGCTGCAGCAGCCAGTTGTCAACAAGCAGGTAACAGCACTCGCCCACGCCGTTGCATGCATGGCTCACGTCCTCTTCTACCGCCTACTCCACCGCTTAATAGCCTGTCCTGTCAAGGTGAAAAATGGACTTCACTTAGCTGTGGCAAATAACTGTGTGGTATAACGTCAATGTGGATGTGTTTCAATAGAATGGAATGCCCACATGTAATGGAGCAAACCATAAGAATCATATTGCAGCGGAAGCTCCGATTTTGAACACACAAGTTCACCCAAACAGCTTTAGAAAACTGTGCCTCAAAGGTTCAACAAAGCTTGGTAATGAAAGTGTTGTCAAATGTGGCCCAATGGGAGCCATCATCGCATACTGTTGGGGTTGAGCTTCGTCAGCATTTAAGCAGGGGGAGGCCAAGTATGGCCCGCGGCCCACACAGGGGCCGTTCTGTTCTTTAATCCGGCCCGCCAAGCACTGACCATATCAAGAGTTCTGATTTAACACATTAAATAATTTGTCAGTTTGTTCTAAGTAATAAAATAAAACTCGTAAACAGTTTTACATATGCATGCAACATTTTCTGTTGATTAAAAAATAGTCAAACATCTACATATACTGGTACTTTTTAAATGTATATTATTTAATTAATTGGAAACAAATTATACCCAATAAAATACAAACATTAGTGTTTTATTGTTTTAGAACTGAAATAAACAATTTGATATATTTGACATTTTAGTTGTTTATCTAGGAATGACCTATCTCTTCTCTGTGTTTTGAAAATCAAACGTTTGTTTACCCACCATTGAAAGGTACCAGTGATATGGAAGTGATGTACTGATATGTAATAATGACTATAGAACCGAGGGAGAACATTTTATGACAGAATACACCAAACAACACTTATTGATTGCGGCAATCCCTACCAGATGCCATAACGTGACAAAGCACTCCGCAAACACCCTTCTGTTTTATCTCCCATCAAATGTCATCTTCAGCGTCCGAGTTGTTTGACGTGATGACTATTCAGGTCATCAGCTTCAATGTTACTCACATTTTTTATTTTTGCCATCCTCAGCTGACCTATGTACTTTTGGATATTGCTATTCAGGAACTTTTTCCAGAGCTGAACAAGGTAAAGCGCTTGTCTTATCTTATGTGTTCATTCTCAGTACATTGTGCTGAAAAGATTTATTACACCAACACCCAGTGCAGGCTTTACGCCGCTTCAGTAATATAACGCAAATTATTTTATTTGATTAGGATGTCAAACTGCAGTGATTTACTTGCACCCCCTCCCACTTCAACACCTCAAAATCGTGGTTGAATATCAATTTATTTCTGGCTTCTTAAGGAAGCCCAGCGAACTGGCTCAAATTTGGGTCAACAAAGCTGATTTCACCTTTAAATTCCTCATTCCTCTTCTAAAGTGTAAAATGTCGAGAACTTCGTCCAGTTTAGCGCTTGCATTGAAGCATTTCATGTTTTATTTTTTTCTTCGATTTTTATTTTGATGGCACATAATCTATAATTCATGAATCCAAATCCAGGTCTAACACCTGACATAGATGATTGAAATACCTTCCACTCAATGAATAAATACAAATCCCACTTTTGACATGTCATCCAAAAGTAAATTAACATTTCAGTATCCATATGAACCCGAAATATATAAAATGTGAATGCTTTTTTTTTTTTTTTTAAATTTTACATCCTCAGCAGGTGCAGAAGGAGTCTTCAATCAATGCTCCCTGGATGTGAATTATTACCACTGACAAAAAACCCCCCCGAACAATTCCAAGCACGTTTAATGCACTTTTGATGTCTTCAGCGACCTTTGTAGGTGATTTCTCTGCTGTAATGTATACTTTAATTTGTAAAATAAAATAACAGTGCTGCACTGGCAATTCAGAAACGTTGAATGATTGTCTTCACCATAAAACCGAACCGATATGTGAAGAAAAAAAAACAGAAATGATATAAAATACTATCGACCAATCAAAGAAACATCCGCCAAAACTTCATCTCGGCTTCTTATTAAACTGTCAAAATAGTGGAACTGCAACAATATTCTGACTTTTTATTGTTGATGTACAGTATTTTATTTTTGTCGTCATCTTATGATGACAGTTCAGAAATGGCGTGAACAAAATTTCCTGAGAACTCGCACCTCTTTTTTTTTTTTTAGAAAAGGGGAAGTTAAAACAGTTCTGTACAAAAAGAATAATGGAAAAAAAAAACATATATATATATATTTTTTTTTTTTTAACTATGACAGTATGATTGGGTCAATACTGTACTGTATGTTAGTATTCGTAAATTTGAACCTAAGAGTTAACAAATAAAGCACAAACGAAACACTACGGTCAAATTGCTCTTTATTCATCAAATGAAATGTAAATACAATTAAAAAAAATATGGAAATGTTGTTGCTTGGCATGCAGTTGAGGCAATGCAATTGCATCATGCAGTGCTCCCAATATGACAAGTAGTGTCTTAAAATACGTGTGTAAATGTATTTTGAGCAAAGCAAAGTAACACCAAATGAACTGTTACAAAAAAAAAAAAATGTTCAAGGCCACGTAAAGATCCATTCGTAATACTGTCGACCACTGAATCTCAAAGTATGCATTTCTCCAGATACAGTTTTTATTTGAACTTATTTGCAGTGCATCTTAAAAAGGTGTTTAGTTACGTGCAGATTTGTAGCAGGCGGGTACTTGAAACGTGTAAACATTTTTACTTCACGGGCATTTGGCCAGGGGGTATTCACCTTTTACTCCACCTACTTTCAGTGTACTAAAAATGTATTACCTTATTTAATATTTTCATATTCATGGAGCATTTCTTGCTTGCTGTTGAATCTCCCCTGAGAAAACTTCTCATGATAGTTTCCTAATCAGAATGTCAGAGATAGGCCTAAACTTAACAATGGCAGGATGAGGCTTTGGGCCAAAAATGCCGCCGAGTTGCTCCTGAACTTGATCCGACCTTCCACAGCTGGGTGGACAAGCTTCCTTTCAGAGATGTATTTGGACAAAACCACAACGTCCATATCACCTGCAAGAAGCAAATAACATACCTTGGTTCATAATTGCTTGGCATGTTCATATTTTACAAAAGAAATGCTTACACAGCATTTGTTTTTGTACAGAATCCTACAAATTTACAAATCAAAAATGTTTTGCCCGGTACGTTGTTCTGGAGTTAAATTCCTGGGTTCCCTCTTTTGACTTCCCTTATCGGGGTGTGAAACTCAATCGCACAGGCGGTCGAAACTCAAAGCACACTTTAAGTCCTGGGCCGTCAAGTATAAACATTTACTGAATAAAACTTTTTTTTTAAACATGAATATGTCTTGAAACACATGGGATATCGTATTAGTCCAAAATTAAATGAACTTTACCTGTAATTATGGTCAATTAGGTCCTACTTCCTTGAACATAGTAATTGTGTTGAATGATGACTGATTTCTCTTTCCTTTTGACTATTTTACTTACCTTACTTTCTGTCAATTTATTACTGTATATGTTTTTATGTTCAATAAACAAACGAAACGAAACCTGTACTCGGTTTCCCATCAGATTTGAAAAAGATTGAAGACGTGACGGTGGGATTGACCATCCGAAATGGGCTGTTGGTGTGCAGCATGGGATAATCAAGTCCCAGCGTGTTGGCCAAAAACCACTTGAGGCTGACTCAAAGTAGAGATAATAATAATAAAAGTCAATGGATGGACAGATGTTTGGCTGTTGCTCCTTTTACCCCCCCCCCCCCACACACACACTTTCAATACACTTCCGAGATATGTTTGTGCACTATTGTGGTTGCATGTATGTCGTTTTGAAAAGGCCGATGACAGACCAATAGGCAAGTGTGCAGAACATGGAATAAGACTCTTTACACGAGGCAATTTATCAAACACGGTAAAGTCAGCAACACTTAGGCAGCGAACACAGCAGTTCCTGTCATCCATCCATCCATTTTCTGATCCGCTTAACCCTCACAACGGCCGCAGGGGATGCTGGAGCCTATCCCAGCTGTCTTTGGGCAGGAGGAGAGGGGACACCCTGAACCGGTTGCCAGCCAATCACAGGGCACACACAGACGAACAACCATCCACGCTCACACCTCCAATTTTGAGTATCCAAATCAGTCTGCCATGCATGTTTTTGGAACGTGGGAGGAAACCGGAGTACCCGTAGAAAACACATGCAGGTCCGGGGAGAACATGCAAACTCCAAACAGGGAGGCCAGAGCTGAAATTGAACCCGGTACCTCTGCATTGTGAGGTCGACGCGCTAACCACTCGACCACCAGGCCGCCCAGTTCCTGTCAGTGCCTCATATTTGAAAACTAATTCACACCACTTCCGGTGTACTACAGATTTATGCCCATGCTGCATTCCAGGAAGGTGGGAAGACAGCTTTATCTCACATTTCATCTCTTTCGGATTGTACCGTGCAATCTCCTATCCTATCCCAAGTTGGCCCGCACGTGAGGATTCACCCTGCTGATGCAACAGGCTAGCATTTTAATATGGACCATTACTCGGCAGACATTGTGCATTGTGCATCAAAGATCTGTAAGAGGATAAATTAAAGCCAGAAAAGCTTGAATTTATCCTCTTCTTTCAAAAGCTGTAGCCTTTTAAATGGCGCAACATGGTTGGCAGTTAAATCAAATCTGCTGCGGAAAGGAAAATGTAACTGCAAATCGTGTCTTCTTCTGTCTAGTGCCAATAGCCTAGCACATTTTACTGAAAATTTCAAGTCACCGCACTCGCAAGTCATTCTGGCTTTGAATAGTTTGTGTGATTGAGGTTAAAGATAGAAAAAAAAAATAGGATAAATATCTACTAATATCCTTATCGTAAGGAACACTTTGCAGCAGATAAGACTTTGAGACATTGCGGAACTCGTGCATACACACAAGTGGTCACAAACTCGGTTAAAATGTTGTCCGTCTGCCCACCTGTGTTATGCTTCAGCATCTCTTCCTTGAACATGCTGTAGCCGTCACCGCCGCTCACCAAGTAGGAAGGCGTGACTACAGTGTACGTCTTCTCCAGGTCAAGCGGTTCGTACTGGGGCACTCTGCACTGGGTGCAGAGGACAGATAAAGATGCGACCCGCTGGTTTACTGGCTTTGACAGGTCATATTCTACATGGATGCCTGCAAACGTAGAAAAATGTGACGTTTGTTAGAAACAGAGAACGAGATTAACACTCAATCGGGCGTCATCATTTTGTTTGGAACGATGGTCAGATTTTTGATGGTGAGGTGAAAGTGACAATTTTTTGATCAACACCCAACTGGCCGCTAAACAACCTGCAATGATTTCACAACCTGCTGTCTCGGTTTCGTCACTTGGCGGAAGTTACCAAATGATGAACTTGGGCAATATTGTTAGGAGATAAGAAATGATACCTGACACTTGCAGGAATTCTCCATGCATGCCTCCATATCTGTGAACGGAGCGTTCAAAAGCCTTTTTCATGGTTGACCCCTTTATCTGGATCAAGTCCATAGTTTGTTGAAATGGTAAGACAGTCAGGATCTCCTCCATTGTTATGTTACCTGCGAGTAAAGGGTCACACAAAAACACAACAGAGTTATGAAACAAAACTGCCACCTGCCCATCACATGCCAAGAAGTACATCAACACAGGAGACCCCTTGCATTGCTGCTTTGGCCCAGTTTTCTGCTGTCATATTTAGAATGTGGAATACCACCTGGGCGGTCCGGTGGACCAGGGGTTAGCACGTCGACCCCACAGTGCAGAGGTCGTGGGTTCGATTCCAGCTCCGGCCTTCCTTTGTGGAGTTTGCCTGTGTGGGTTTTCTCCGGGTACTCCGATTTCCTCCCACATTCCAAAAACATGCATGGCAGGCTGATTGAACACTCTAAATTGTCCCTTAGGTGTGAGCGTGAGAGCGGATGGTTATTTGTCTGTGTGCCTTGCGATTGGCTGGCAACTGTTTCAGGGTGTCCCCCGCCTACTGCCCGAAGACAGCTGGGATAGGCTCCAGAACGCCCCGCGACCCTTGTGAGCATAAAGCGGATCGGAAAATGGATGGATAGAACACCACCTCAATCTGAGGTGAACTGTGACTGCAAAGTTGAGAAGCATTAAAAAAAAAAAAAAAGTGTCCTCTTCATAGTTTACCGTTTTTGTTGTGTTCATCAATGGCTGTTCGAATGGCTCCGCTGTTCAGTAAACAGACGGCCACGTGATTCCACTGCAGCTCATGAGAGTATTTTAAATTGTGGTTCACCTGACAATCACAAAAGGAAAGAACAAAGTGAGATGTTGAAACTGCTTTTCAACTCTTAACTGATGTGGCTCAAATGGCTCACAAAAATCATCGCAAAATACCAATCTTGATTATTGTCACGATGTTGAAATATTGCTCTTAGACTTATTTAAACTGCCAGTATTAAAACATCCGTACTGTCAACCAAAGCAACATTTCATTGACGTTTTATGTAATGAGTCAATTAAAGAAAAAGGAACATGGATAAATATTTTTTTAAGAAATTACCCAACGGTACAAAGTAGTTGAGAAGCTTTTAAATAACACGGGGAACTAGTTTACAGTCTTGACTGAGTGTATTTACCTATGCAAAACACAAAACAGAGTGCCCTCCCCCGGGAATATGAAGATGCCTTAAAATGTGAACACAAATTTTCCAATCATTAATTAACATGTGGGACAAATGTGCATCTTCTTTAATAACAATACAAATTGCATAGTTTCAAGTTAAAATATAACTACAAAAATAGTCAGAAAAATTAATACTACCGGTACTGTATAATGGGATGCTTCAATGCATTTATCATATTTATTAATATCCAAAGGAAATTACGCAAATTAAAATGAACTCAACAGTGAAAATAAAAATAAAACCGAACATTTTAATTTAGAATCCCAAAATATTTTTGGAGGTATAAACGAAAATAAACGAATTGCCCCCTCAGGGATAATAAAGACACCGTAGATTATAAACGTGACCATTTTTCAATTACGTTGGGTGCTACATAGTCCGTTGACATTAGTGCTGCCTTTAAAATATGCATTAGCATCATCATCATCATCTACCAAGACAGATCAACCAGTTTTGCCATGCTTAATAACATCAATAACACGGTCGATTTCTGCTTTCACCCGGTGGCCTCAGCGGTAGTAGCAGCGAACTGCTAATGCTATGCGTGCTGGCAGCAGTTAATCACAGGCTGGACTTACTCCGTTTGCGTTTTTATGCTTTTCACACCATCAGTTGTTTGGTACTTCTTAAGCTATGCCCAAATTCATAGTTTGCGTCCTTCAAAGGCCGAATTTGTCGGGCACATGACATAAATTCCGGCACGACTTGACCTCACACCTGTGTCCAAATTAATGCGGTCTTCAAATCTGGCCTTTGTTTCCATGGAGATGAGAGGGCTGCTATGGAGAACACTTTAATAGCTGACATTCCTCCGCTCATCTTTGATACTCAAAACATGTACATGGTCAAAGGCACCCTGCGTTTGCACTCGGTGGAGTTTACTTTTAAATGTAAGTATCAGTTTTGGCATTATGCATGGATGGATATCACTTATAAGACATCAGGCGTTTCTAATTTCACCATGTTTTATGCCACCCAAACAGGCAGTCTACATGAGAGTTGGATGCTTCGGAGGACTCAGCCTATGAATTTGGACACAACTTTAGCGCATTTCCACCACGTTTGATCAAGTAAAAACGCATCAGGTGATAACCGTGATCAACCTGATATTTAGCGCAATCACTAACCACAATCATTTTATCGCCCAGACCTATGTGGGTGATTATCTCCCTTGCCTCTGCAACCCAAAATCAAATTGTTGGGCTGTACATGCACCGGCAGGACCTGAGGTTAGTGTCAAAGCTGTTGTGCCAAGCATGTTGTCTCGTGGTTAACTTTGTGGTTTGTCGTGCTGACAGTTTATAGAAGTTCTGATGTAATACCATGGCGTCACAAATCAAGTTTCCCAGGTTGCATTCTCGAAAACGACACTCCTCAAAAGACCCATTGAGGTACACTAATGTTTGGCCGACATATTTTTTCGAGTACTGAGCCAGCTGCTCCTTCCACTTCTCAACATCAGCAAGGATATTGGGATCTGGAGGGCGAAAAGGGGAAATGAAAACATGAAACGAGCTTTTTGCAGCGTACTGTATTCGAATCCCACGCAGCCGGATATGACTGGGTCAGTTACTGCAATCTACCTTGAGGTATGCTCTTGTCCAAAAGGATGGGGTTTCCAACTGCTTTGATAACATTTCCAGCCTGGTCAAAGGTAACCTTCAGGTAGCCCAGGTATTTTCCAAAGGCATACGCCTGGACTACTGGCACATTTCTGCCATCATCTGACCTCACCATGAACGGGTACGGGCCTGCTGGCACTTCAGTAGATGGAGCATGTCCTACAGGGCACAATAATATAAGCTTAATGATATAATTATTAAGTACTAGTGATAGACGGATCGATCCAAAGATTGATACTGGTGTTGGCATTGATATCGATTGATATATTAGTATCAGGACATCAACGATTGAGTCATGGTTTCTCTCCTGTATGCACTGCTGCGGTTTTATCGCATTGATTTTATCCCCTCCTCTTTCTTTTGTTTTGATGTTGTGTTGCCCGTCACGTTACTCAGCATCACCATATAAACATGTAAATAGGTTCAGCCAGCATGACCGAGCCAGCAACGCGGTCAAGCGGCACATCAAAAGGGACCTAAAGGATGGTGGAGAGGAAGACGAGTGCTGCGTGACTCGTTCCAGGTTGCAAATTAAAAAGGGAGTCCAACAATTCACAAACGACACTTTATTCAAGTGGTTGGAAGATTCTAAGAAATTACCCGGAATAGGAAACAAGGAGGAGCAAAATCCCCCACCGCCTGGACTCAAGATACCCAAGCCCCCCCACCCACTTGCTGTGTATACTGGTAAAGGCCTTTCAGTCTAGCAGACATCATCCAGGTAAATATCCTCAGAAGGCAACTCCGCAAGTATAAATTATGCTTAGATACTGAGGCAACATATCTATCCCATAGAAATGTGTTCTTGAAATGAATACATTTACTGGAACAAAAGTACTACTGTAATACCGCTCAGATTATAATGGACTCCAGTATATATAAACAATGGTATCACGCATGAGAGGGTTACTGTGTACTTACTAAATTTACATTATAATAAGTGAACAAATACATCTGTTATGAATATAAAGTATTTTAAATTTACAGTTAAAAAAATTCCCAAATCATTCCCCCCTTTTTTAAATGAATAATTCCAAGGAAAAATGGCACACAAATACGTAATGGTCATAAAAAAATATGAGTTTGCAATTTCACAATGCATCATCCTTAACTATTAGGAGGTATTGGAACAGATATGAGAAAAACTGGCCCCGCATTCATTTGGTGGAGAATCAATACTAAATCTTGTCCTTTGTAGTCTCGCACAGACTCATCTAACGTTTCCTCCTTAACATACATCTACCATCTTATTTGTTTCAGCAAAGAGGTTATGCTTTCACCATCAGTTTGGTTTATCCCAAAACTTGTCCAGGTGGGGATGGAGGGCTGTGCTGACGTAAAATGCAACTGATTTTTAACATGTCTTTTTCAACCTCCTTTGACAAGACAACAATGTCAATGCAACAAATGCTTTAAGACTTCATCCAAATAAGCATGTAGGAGTTGCCCACTGCATCCTAACCCAAGCATCCGGTTTCTGTAAATCTTGCCTTAACCCTTTCATTCACCCCGTAACCTGATAACATGATAAGATGTCCACTGTAGTAACCGCTGTTCCTGAAAGGTGTAATAAGGTTCACCGGTAAGCTGGATCCTATCTCAGCTAACTCTCGGCAAGAGGTGGAGTACATTCTGGACTCAATTGCAGGTCACATGCAGACAAACAAGCATCCACATGCCCATTCATCCTATAGGCAAGTCTTTACTCTTCACAAAACTTCAGAAAAAAATGAGAACATGCACGTGCGTATCCATGTATGTAAGAGCATATGCTGGATTCCAGCCCCAGTTGGATTTATGTCAAATCACGATTGAAGTATTGATTGAGGATGACGGGCAAATACGTACCGGTGTATAGGAATGTGTTGGTGTGTCCTCCAATAACTACGTCGATCCCTCTGACTCGCTTGGCAATTAATTGATCCACATCAAAGCCAGAGTGTCCCAGGGCGATGATCTTGTTATAGCCGAGTGCGTGCAGCTTGTCAACCTCCACCTGCAGGGATGCCACCTCGTCCTCAAACTTTAGGTGTGGCCCTAATACGCAAACATAAGAACAAAGTCAAGGTTCAGCAACTGGTTCGTGCAGCTCTGACAATACAATGTATACAATTTGTACAAACAGCACTGAAGGAGTGAATCCATCCTACCTTTTCGAAATAAGAGCCATGCAGAAGTCCATTGAGAAATGAGAGGATTTTACCATTGCAAAATCGATTTCAAAATAAATGTATGAAGTGACATGTAAATGGGCAATGGAAAAAATTAAAAAATGTATTTATACATCTTGGTTTCAATATTATTTCTGTGGACTGCAACATTTTAATTACTGTAATTACAGCTGATTGGAAATGCACACTTTTTAAAAGGATGACTATGAAATTGACAGCTTTTAAGTTTCATTACACATGTTAACTTTTAACACATATCAAAGTTAACAGTGGTAAAACGGAACTTTTAACACATATCAAAGTTAACAGTGGTAAAATGGATGATGCAGAGAGAAAGAGAGAGTTGTGCTTTCTGTCGCAGAGAGAGAGAGAGAGAGAGAGAGAGAGAGAGAGAGCTCGAGTTGTGCTTTCTGTCGTTGATGTTAACACAAATAGAGAGATTTTGGTGAGAGTCTAAGCTCTACAATTTGTACTTTTACTTAAGGAGTTGAAGCACTACTACAAATAGAGAGATTTTGGTGAGAGTCTAAGCTCTAGAATTTGTACTTTTACTTAAGGAGTTGGAGCACTACTTTTATTTTTGCTAGTCTTTTTTTTACCCCATTAAAACTCGTTCACTCCCCAAAGACATATTTATATGTCTTTTCACACTCCACACGTTCAACCCCAGATACTTTTTCCCCCAATTTTCCCAAGACTTAGGGTAAAAAAAGGGGTCTAAAATTGGCTGATGCTGAATGAGTTAAGTGTACTTCTGCTTAGGTACAGGGCTATGAGTACTGAAGCGACCGGTGGATATTTCTGATTACGTGATATGGTCTATGAGGTAACCGCGTCCTCCTTTCGTTAATAGGAAAGAGAGAGAGACATGGCCTTATATAGGCAATTAATTGCCTCAAATCAGTTTACAATAAAAATTCGAAATGAATGGTGATACTGCACGTTTTTACCTGGAATCGACAAGAAGGGGGTTTCCGTGGTGGTGTATCCCACCACGGCCACTTTTTCCAAGCCCACATCGATCACCACGTGAGGCCGGTAGTAGCGGCTGAAGTTGGCTACCAGAGTCTGGTCCGGTTTGATGTTCGAGCTCACCATTGAGCAATTAATATTCTGCAGGAAAGGCGAGATAAGACCCTCCACTCCATTGTCAAACTCGTGGTTCCCGAAAGCCTGTGTGGCGCACACAACACAAAAGTTGTTTACACTTGCAAGACTTGACCTGGCAGCGTTTCAAAAGACAATTACCATCACGTTATAGCCAAGTTTGTTCATAAAGTGAGCCGCTTCCGCGCCTTTGTAGTAATTAAACCACACGGTGCCTTGGAACTGGTCGCCGGCGTCTAGTAGCAAGACATTCTTCTCCTCCCTGCGGATCTGCGACACCTTACTGAAGCGTCGCGCAACTCCCGCGAAGCAGAGACCCGCGTCGGGACACTTCCCAGAGTCCACGCTGGTCTCTTCGATGCGCGCGTGGATGTCATTGGTGTGCAGCAGTGTTAGCTCCAAACTCGAAACCCGCTGCCAAGCGTCGAATAGCAGCATCAAGTGGAGGCAAACCGAGACCGGCTTCCACGAGAAACTCATCGCGTGTGTGTGCGTCTGCCAGTGTGCGTCGGCTGGGGCTGGGGGTGGGGGGGGGTGGGGGGAGTGACCAAGACGCGTAAAAGGGCAAGCGGAAAAGGCGTAGTCTTCCCTTTCGTCTGCGGTTTGGGTCTTTGGAATTTTTTCGGAGGAGTGATTTTTTTTTTTTTTTTTTTTTTTGCGTAACCGAGGGGGGTTTGTAGTGCACTGACCACAACGCGTGAAAGGGCAAGCGGAAAAGGCGTGGGCTCCTCTCTCCTCTGCAGTTTGGGTCGTGGAGGAAACGTAGTCCCGACAGAGTATTTTTTTTTGTACTTTCTTTGCGTAACGTCTTCACTGTGGGTCTACCAGTGTTTCTTCAGCATACAACTCTTCTTGGGTACCGATTCACGCAACGATTAAACAGTTTAATATATCTACTTGTCCATCCATCCTCTAATCCGTTTATCCTCAGAAAAGTCGCCGGCGCGCTGGAGCGTATCCCAGCTGTCTTCAGACAGTAGGCGGGGTAAACCCTGAACTGGTTGCCAGCCAGGGCACACATATACGAACTACCATTTGCCCTTACAACACTAAGGGACAATATAGAGTGTTACATTAAGCCGCCATGCAGGTTTTTCGTATGTGGGAGGAAAACCGAGTACCCGGAGAAAACCCAAACAGGCACAGGGAGAACATGCAAACTCCACACTGTCCATAGCCAGAATCGAACCCTGCACTGTGAGGCGGACCTGCTAATCAGTTGATCACCTTGCCGTATTCCTACTTGTGAAATAACAAATGCATATTTATATATGTATGTGTATATTCATCTTTGCGCAGATACTGATGTTAATGATTTCTCACAAGTTACCAACAACGATTTAACAATGTAGGAAACAGATCACTTTTATTTCTCCTCTATTTTACCCCAACAGACCAGCTCAAAATTTGGAGGAGCACTTTAATTCATTTACAGTGTAGACGTCAAGCGGAACCACTCACCTTCTGTGGCAGAGCTACGTGGTAGCAAGGAGTGGTCAGGAAACATGTCTGAATACTTTTTTCTGATTTCTCTTTTCAGTATGGAACAATTGAGTCTTACGTCAGTGCCACCAATATCCATTACGTTCGTTCACATTGTAGCAAAGTAACATGGCTGAGAAGTCATTGAAAGTTAAGGGCACACTTATGCTCAACACATTACAAGCAGGAACAAACCCAAGTAAAATGCATCACTTAAAATTGTGAAGAATGAAAACGTTTTTTGTCATCGTGCTTTTTAGATATAGTTTTAGTTATAATAAGTAGTATGCAAAACGGCGTCGGCTCTGACTGGCTCTTAGCTAGCAAATGCATGAGAAAGAAGTACACTGTCTGCAAAGCAACCACGAGCAGAGATAACAACGAAAAAAAAACCGTTTAAAAATGTGAATTGGATTTCTGACATTTACTTCCAAGCATAAAATTTTCACATAAACATCAAGAAATGTGGATTAAATATGACGTAATAATTTAACTTCGAAAATACATCCACAAATACAATCCAGTTAGGATTGTCCTCCCTGTGCGTGAATGGCGACCCACAGTGGCCAGAGTTAGGTATAGCAGAATCATTTCCAAGATTATGCCAATTACTGTACACGATTTTACATTCAAGTGTGATACTTTAATGGCATAGGAACCCCTCATTTAATTAATTCATTCAATACTAGTAACTAAAAATATGTTATTCGAGTGAAAAAAATGTTGATTTGAAATAATTCAAGCCAATTTACAGGGGAAAAACATCCAAGTAAAGTGAATTTAAAGCTCAAATACAGTTGGTGGCTGTAAAATATAACATTAGAGGAAACTATATATGGATTTAACATAATGTTGTCTTTTTTAATAAGAAAACGGCATCAGTAAATGTCAAAGCAGGCCACAGAAGAGTGTTTAAACCCTTTTTGAGTGTATGTATCGCAAATTAACAAACACTAGATAAGTGAACGTTGTTTGTAACCCTTTCATGCACAAATAATGCTAATCTACATCAGGATTTTTTTTGTCAAGTGTTTTTATTAGTCTTGAGCCATGGAAAAAAATGGCAGTGGATGGCAACACACATGAGGGTCCATTGTAGTGGTTGATGCACAACTGTGACATTAAGATTAATTAATATTAGAGAAAACAACATTTAAATAGCTGTCCATTCAAGTCACCGCTGTCCCTGAAAGGGTTAAAGTGCGACATAAACAAAACAGATTTGAGTTGAGTATAAGTATAATATTTGACAAAAATATTGATTGAACACAATTTAAACCCTTTCCTTTTAAACTGAGAAAGTAACGTAAAAGAAAGTCAAAATGGAGAAGTGTTTAAATATACCTTCTGGCATCCAATCATCCATCCATTTTCAATACCGCTCCGCCAGCCGACTTGAGGTGAGAGACAGGATAGACAACGGACTGGATGCAAGCCAAATGCTGCACCATTTGACAGTACTCATTTCATATTTGAGGACAAATATTGATGTTGCATCATTTTAACTGCTTTACTGGGTAAACAACATCAATCAAAGTCAAAGTAGAGCTCAGAGGAGAGTTGAAATGAATGCCGCATAATTTTAACCTTTTGAAATCAATCATTCAATCGATGAAATGTTACTGACAATTTTCATACATAGAAATGCAACTCAAAGTGCAAACTGTGCAATAAAAACATTCAAAATACAACGTAAGACCTTCCCCGTCCGTCCTAAGTTAAAAATGTTTCTGAATCCAGATGATTTTATTTCGTGCAAACACGTGACAAAATAAAACTTAGTAAATTCAACACACCATTTTTTTTCAGTGTGTGTGTGGGGGGGGGGAACAATATTGGTCAAGTCAAAATATAGCTAGATGTGTTTAAAAACACCTCTACAAGTTAAAAAAAAAATTGGAAGTGTGTTTAAATACTCCTGTTCCTTGTAAAATACAATATTTGTAAAGTGCTTTTTCAATAAAAGTTGAGCTGAGTGTTTAATGGAAACAACTTTGCAGTCGTATGATTGAAAGTAGAGCATAAAAATTGTTTCATTGCACTTTTTTGCTGTCTGAATATGTCAGAAAAACAATATTGATGAAACATCATTTAAACCTTTTTTTAATGTGAAAACATAATCTGAAAAAAAAGTCAAAGTACCGCTTAAATGCGTATTTCAAATCAACCGCTGACTATACAGACATAATTTTGGAATGGGGGGGGGGGGAAAATCCATATCCATCTGCCGTCAGACTTTGCAGTACGCGGCGACACTGTTCAGTCACAAATGAATTGTGTGATAATAACCCAACAAACAACGTTAGCGATGGGAAGAACACAGCAAACGGCAAGAGCGGGAGCTCAGCTGTCAGGGAGCGAAATGAAAAGCAATAAAAGTTGACAGTATAATACTGCACGCAGGAGGTGCGGAACAATGCTAAGTGACAAGTGAAAACACCCGTGTGCAATCAGGTTGGCATGCATCACTGCGCTGAGAGCCTGTGCTTCAATTCTCAAACAAATCTCATTGGTAGCAAACGGCTAGAGTGATAAACGGAAACGCGTTTATATATTTTTATCTACGAAAATGTACTTGTCCTTAAGTCCCTAACTGTAGTCTTGTATGTGCATTCACTTTCAAGGCTTATGAGTACACTCTCTTGAGAGTGCAAAGCTAAATGCACATCTTTTATTATTCCATACGCAAGGACGCCAACAGCGCCAGATGAAATCAGGGTCCCGGCCACTGTGTCCAACATCTGTGTCAAGACTCTGAAGCTTGAATAAAAGTAGCCTGCGGGTTCAGGGGTGTGGTCAGAATTTTTTCCAGTGGGGTGGCAAGGATGACACAACACCTCAGTGAGGGGAGGCCAGGTGTAGCCGTGCATGTGTGTGCATGCGCGCAGGTGTGTGAGTCGTTCACAGTCAAAGTCTCATGAAATCAAATTCACAGAATAATGCCCATCGCACTCATAATCAAGCAGGAACAAGTCAAAGTGAAAAGCAACATTTTACCCTACAAACAGACTCCACATCAAAGTAAAAACATCCAATAATTCGGCCTTTGCTGACTTTAATCAGAAAAGAGGAAACCTTTTCAATTGAGGCCCTATTATTGACATCCATGTACCCGGCTTTCAGTACAATGGCAGGCTATTGATGCATTTCAAGATTTTTATTAACCCTTTCGTTCACCAATAATGATAACCTGTAACCTGATAACATGACAAGCCGTCCACTGTTGTAACCTCTGTCCCTGAAAGGGTTAGTAATAAATAACTTGACTTGCCATTACTCAGTCAGAGCGTATAAAAATTTTTGTGGGGAGCAAGGACGGTATTCACATACTCACAGATTTATTTATTTATTTATTTCTCAGAAGTGCACCTCTTCACTATTTTTGCGCTCAGGCCAAAACAAGCAAGTTTTACTTTAGCACCATTTTCTGGCATCTTGGTGTTGACGAACTTTGTTGAAGTGAGTTAAGGTGTTTCATGAGACAAACTAGTGCATTGCCACCATCTTTTTGCAGCTTGGTCACGTGAAACTATGTTTATATGAATTAAATAACTTTATTCAGACAGAGTGCTTTTCCACCATTCTGGCATCTCTTGGCAATTATTAACCTTTTGGGGGTGCACCGGTTATGCTTGGTCCCTCTACCCAGGGAATAGCTGGTTACTTGTCAAATGCACCTTCAATACAGTATTTTACGAATAATACATTAATTGCACTTCAATTGCATATTTATAATAAGTTAATGGGCAGCCCGGTAATCCAGTCGTTAGCGCGTCGACTTAACGGTGCAGAGGTACCGGGTTTGATTCCAGCTCCAGCCTTCCTGTGTGGAGTTTGCATGTTCTGCCCATGCCTATGTGGGTTTTCTCCGGGTACTCTGGTTTCCTCCCACATTCCAAAAACATGCATGGCAGGCTGAGTGAACATTCCAAATTGTCCCTAGGCGTGAGTGTGAGTGTGAGCGTGGATGGTTGTTTGTCTCTGTGTGCCCTGCGATTGGCTGGCAACCAGTTGAGGGTGTCCCCCGCCTACTGCCCGAAGACAGCTGGGATAGAC